TATATATATATACACACACATATATATCTTGAAACAATTAGAGGATGACAAGGTGTTGAAAAATGCACAGGTAGAATTTTTACTGGAGACATCTGACCTGGAGGAAATAGAATAGCTGAGGCGACTAAGGTAGCAGTATTCAAAAGGTGATATTTTGACAAAAGAATAAAGCTTATTTTGTATAGCCTTAGAGAGCAGAACCTACCGCTCTGACCATATCGCTGGGGTACAGTTGCCGTTTCAGCCAGCCAGTTTTCTTTTGCTGTAGTAAAGCATATTATACTTAAAATTTACCATTTTAATCATTAAATGATTAAAATTGTATAGTCCTGTGCCGTTAAGTATGTTTACCTTGTTTTGCAACCATCACCACCATCCATTTCCAGAACTTTTTCATTTTCCCAGACTGAAACTCTGTCCCCATTAAACACTAGCTCCCAATTCTCTCCTCCCACCCCCTGGCAACCATCGTTCTACTTTCTGTATCTGTGAATTTGATTACCATAGGTACCTGGAGTAGAGTATAAGTGGAATCACAGTTATTTTACTTTTGGCTCCTGTTGAAATACTTGTCTATTGGTCAAGGTCTAGTTTATGTCTTTTCTAAACACCTCAGTGTACAGTAATTTCATTCCCCTGTGAAGTCTTGTTCCAGTGGCTATCTTTATCATTTGATTGACATTCATTATGTGCTTCCTTATAAATTTAGCACTTTTTTCCTGTGTATATCTTTCTCAAATATTTCCTAGATTCTTGAAGAAAATGACCATATCTTTGTTCAGCCTTCTGTTTCACTATATTCTTGTAAGTTGGTGGCTTTCACATTATAAATTCTCTAGAAATACTTGTTGATTGCCCTTTACTATGAATTTTTTTGAGTTGGAGTCTCTGTCGCCCAGACTGGAGTGCAGTGGCCGCTCCTGGCCACCGCAGCCTCGACCTGCTGGGCTCCGGTGATCCTTTGGCCTCAGCCTTCCAAGTAGCTGGAACTACAGGCGTGCACTACTACGCCCAGCTGATTTTTGATTTATTGTAGGGATTAGGTTTCGCCAAGTTGCCCAGGTGGGTCTCGAACCCGCGGGCTCGGGCAGTCCACTCACCTCAGTCTCCCAAAGCGCTGGAATTACAGGCTGAGCCACCGAGCCCGGCCTTTACTATGAAATTTAACTAGAGATGTGAAAATGGAATACCAACTAGCAGAAATAGAGCTTTAGCATGGTGGTCTGTTATTGAGGTGAAGATAATTTGAGGATGTGTTGAGATACGGAGCTAGTCATTAGGTTCTTGGAATGTAGTTGAGGAAAGGAGTCTGGAAGTGTGTGCTGAAGCCATGAAAATGGTATGAAAGTGTACATATGTAAGGAACAGGGACTTAAGGAGCATCCACAGGAGGAAGAGGGATAGGAACCGTTGAAGAGGATGTGATCAAGGTAGGAGAAGAGAATATGGAGTATAATAGAAACAATAGAATTGAATAGTGTCAAGCACTGCTGGTCTAAAGTAGAATAATGTATTTCCTTGTATTTCCTAATGCATTGCTAGGCTTAGACTAAGAGACTTCACTTTGCCTTTCTTCAGTTTTTCTCTGAAGTGCAGGGCCCAGGAGCAATTCAAACCCCAATGCTAACTCTATAAATAATCTTGTTTTTCTATAGAACCTATTAGTTTGAGGAGGTGTGGCCTAGATGCAATTAACTAAAGATCAGTGATAGCATTTTCACGCATGCTGTGTTATTCAGTGTTCACAGCAGCTCCTATCTTATGGATGAGAAAATTGCATGTGAAAGAACTCTAAAATTGTATAAGTCACGGTGAAAATTTTGGTGGTGGTAGTTTTTACTGTCACTTGTCACTACTACCTAATTTATTTTGAACATTTGACCAAGAAATTTTGAAGAAGTGTTAAATTTCAAAATCATTTCTTATGTTCTGCAAATATGAAAACACCAGCCACCAGTTTAGCATTTGAAGACTAAAGTTGGAGAATAGTGCTGTTTTTTTTTAAAGTTCTGTTAACTAAATTTTTAAAATTTTTTTTATTTTTTGAGTTGGAGTCTCACTCTATCACCCAGGCTGGAGTACAGTGGCATGCTCACGGCCACCACAGCCTTGACCTGCTGGGCTCAGGTGATCCTAACACCTCAACCTTCCAAGTAGCTTCCAAGTAGCACAGGCATGTGCCACCACGTCCAGTTAATTTTTTTTTTTTTTTTTTTAATTGTAGAGATGAGGTCTCCCAGGCTGGTTTCAAACCCGTGGGCTCAGGCAATCCTTTCACCTTGACCTCCCAAAGTGCTGGGATTATAGACGTCAGCCACCACGCCTGGCCAGTTAACTAAATTTTTTTTTTTTTTGAGTTGGAGTCTCACTCTGTCATCCAGACTGGAGTGCAGTGGCCGCTTCCAGCCACTGCAGCCTCGACCTGCTGGGCTCTGGCTATCCTTCCGCCTCAGCCTTCCAAGTAGCTGGAACTACAGGCATGCGCTACCAAGCCCAGCTGATTTTTTTATTTTTAATGTAGAGATGAGGTCTTGCCAAGTTGCCTAGGTGGATCTCAAACCCCCCGGCTCAGGCAGTCCACTCACCTCAGCCTCCCAAAGTGCGGGATTACAGGCTGAGCTACCGAGCCCAGCTCAGTTAACTAAATTTTTAAAAATTGTTTTTAAATTTCCAGGATTACTGTCCTTCTGTCGAAGTATAACAGTTGGAAAAGTTTTATATGAATTATATAGTTTTGTTTTTCTTTAGCCTGTAAATTATCAAAGTACAGGGAGAAGCTTGATATGAAAAGAACATGGGCTTTCAAGTCAGACAGTGCTAGATTGAAATTCTAGCACTTCCACTAGCAGAAAATCCTACCTATGGGTCTTTTAAATTTTTTTTTTGAGTCGGAGTTTCACTCTGTCACCCAGGCTGGAGTGCAGTAGCATGCTCACGGTCACCGCAGCCTCGACCTGCTGGGCTCAGGCAATCCTTCTACCCCAGCCTTCCAAGTAACTGGAGCTACAGGTGCACGCCACCACGTCTGGCTAATTTTTTGATTTATTGTAGAGACGAGGTCTCACCAAGTTGCTCAGGCTGGTCTTGAACCCCTGGACTGAGACAATCCCCTCGCCTTGGCCTCTCAAAGTGCTGGGATTACAGGTTTGAGCCATCACGCCTGCCCTCACATATGGTCTTTAGAAAGTTACTTAACCTCTTAGAACTTCTGTTTCCTCATCTATAAAATAGCAAAGGTAAAACAGGTTCATTATCCCTTATCCAAAAATCCTTGGAACTAGATGTGTTTTGGAATTAAGATGATTTCTGGGGATTTGTAGAAGGGGTAATATCCCATCTGGGTTTAGGACCCGCAACCTGTGATCAGACTCCTTAATATTAAATATGAATAGTCAGACTAAGTGGGATAAAGACTATAAATAGCCTCACATTAACTGAAGTTCAGTTTTGCCATCAAATGAATTCGAGTCAGGTAAGGTTTTGCCTCCAAATAAGTTACCAAAAACTTTCGGTTTTCAGAGCTTTATGGATATCGGGAATTTCGGATAAGGGATTATGGACCTGTACTTCCCTTATAGGGTTGTTATGAAGATTTAAACAAGATAAGCTGAAAACACATTATACAGACTGGTAGGTACTCAATCGATATTAATTTTTTCTCTTGGAGATATTAGAAGTTTTCAGTTTTTATTTTCCTATCCTTGGGGTTGTCATTCTTTTCCTTAGAAGGAGCTATTTTAACTTTACTTAAATCTTAGGATTAGAGAGGGGCTAAGCCGGGCTCGGTGGCTCAGCCTGTAATCCCGCGCCTTTGGGAGGCTGAGGTGAGTGGATTGCCTGAGCCCACGGGTTCGAGACCCGCCTGGGCAGCGAGACCTCATCTCTACGATAAATCAAAATATTAGCTGGGCGTGGTGGCACGCGCCTGTAATTCCAGCTACTCGGAAGGCTGAGGCGGAAGGATCGCCGGAGCCCAGCAGGCGAGGCTGCGGTGGCTGGGAGCGGCCACTGCACTCCAGTCTGGGTGACAGAGTGAGACTCCAACTCAAAAAAAAAAAACCAAAAAAAAGAGAGGGGCTAGAGACTGAGTCTTGAGAATACAAAGGATAGGATGAGGAGTAACAAGTGAGGCTTAGTAACGAGTCTGGATTTCTACCAGGTAGGTTTTTACTTTACCTGTAGGCTGAGCTTCACTGGTGGGAGTCATGCTCTAACTTCTCTAGAGTTTTCAAAGGTAACCTTGTGACCCTCTTTTCACTGTCTCTTTGTTTGTCCACAGAGTGATAGAAGGAAGTCAAGGCACCATTATGACTCAGATGAGAAATCAGAAACAAGAGAAAATGGTGTTACAGATGACCTGGATGCTCCCAAGTCCAAAAAAGCTAAAATGAAAGAGAAGCTAAATGGAGACACTGAGGAAGGATTTAATAGACTTTCAGATGAATTCTCTAAATCTCATAAGTCAAGAAGAAAAGACCTACCAAATGGAGATATTGGTGAATATGAAAAAAAATCGAAGCGAGTATCATCCTTAGATAGTTCTACTCATAAATCAAGTGATGATAAATTAGAGGAGGTAGGAGTACTTTTCATTTTGTATTTGATGTTATCCTTGAAATACAGGGAATTTGACTTTTTTTGGTAGACTAATTAGAATTGATTCTATAGTATTTCCTGATTAGTTTCCAGTACTCTCAGTTGTACTCAAGAGTCTCTGTAGAGCTGACGCCTGAGCCTTTTTTCCTTTGGTCCTTGTTTCCTTCATTGAATTGCCTTTTTCTTGGGGTGGGGTGGTAGAGTGGTCAAATTTAAACTTTTCCTAAACACTTTTTAGGAATTGCTTGTTGGTTGTCATCTACTTGCATTTCTTATAGTTATTTTAATCCCTGCCAGTACTCATGAATTGATGTCTTACTTCCTGCAGCAAGGTACAGAAAGCCTCTTGACCTTGTGTATGTTGCTTTCTGCTTTTTCTGCTTATGTAATAATAGCAACTTTAAATGATCTTAAGGTCTTACTGTGACTCAGTGTTAAAGCTGTTTGCATTTTAAAACAAGAATAAAACATAAAAGTGATGTGAAGAAATTTGTTTTTCTGGGTATTCGTATTTTGAGAGGTATAGTACATATGTAAATATTCTTTTTTTTTTTTTTTTTTTTGAGTTTGGAGTCTCACTCTGTTGCCCAGACTGGAGTGTGGTAGCACGCTCCCGGCTACTGCAGCCTCGACCTGCTGGGTCCGGCAATCCTTCCGCCTCAACCTTACAAGTAGCTGGAACTACAGGTGTGCGCTACCACACCCAGCTAATTTTTTTGATTATTGTAGAGATGAGGTCTTGCCAAGTTGCCCAGGCAGGTCTCGAACCTGTGGGCTGAGGCAATCCACTCACCTCAGCCTCCCAAAGCGCAGGATTACAGGCGGAGCCATCAAGCCCGGCATAAATACTCTTATATGTATAATATCTGCATTCCTAGATCCACTGTTGGGGCATTTTGCTAGTAACTGTTAGAGCATTCTTTTTTTCCTTAGAGACAAAGTCTTGCTCAGGCAGAGTGTAGTGGTGCTATCATAGCTCACTTCAGTCTCCAACACTCATGGCTAAGGCAGAAGGATCACTTGAGGCCAGAAGTTTGAGACCAACCTGGACAACCAAGCTGGACAAATTACAAAATTAGCTAAATGTAGTGGTGCATGCCTGTAGTCCTAAAATGAAAGAGAAGCTAAATGGAGACACTGAGGAAGGATTTAATAGACTTTCAGATGAATTCTGTTAATCTCATAAGTCAAGAAGAAAAGATCTACCAAATGGAGATATTGGTGGGTTCAAATGCTAGGGCTACAGGCATGCACTACTACACTTAGCTAATTTTGTATTTTTTATAGGGACTAGGCCTTGCTGTGTTGTCCAGGCTGGTCTCAAACTTCTGGCCTCAAGTGATCCTTCTGCCTCAGCCATGAGTCCCATGTCTGGCCAGGCCTAAAGTAGATATTTTCTTGATCAGAATTTGTTTAAAAATGTCACAGTTTTCCTCTAGCAGAGTTCATAGGTTTATCTAGTGTTAGAAATTGTCAGTAAATTACTTAGGTCTTCACAAAGAAACAATGCTGACATTCTTGATAATTAACAATTCTTTATAGTCTTTAGTTCTGATAATTGCTGATATTTAAATACTTTTAGCTTAATTTAATGCATAATATTTGGAGAACTTTGGCAAAAGAGTTGAATCTTTGCCTTACAATATGGTATTTAAAATTTTTTTAATATTTTTTGAGTCAGTCTCTCTCTGTCACCCTTGTTGAAGTGCAGTGGCATGATCATGGCTACCACAGTCTCAACCTGCTGGGATCAGGCAATCCTTCTGCCTTAGCCTTCCAAGTGACTGAGACTCCAGGTGTGCGCCACCACACCCAGCTTGTAGAAGGGTATATTTACTTATTTAGATTTTTTTGTAGAGGCAAAGTCTAGCTATGTTTCGTAGGCTGGTCTTGAACTCCTCCTGCCCCGGCCTCCTAAAGTGTTCAGATTATAAGCATGAGCCACCACAACTGGCTGGTGTCTTTTTAATTTGTGAATTTGCTATTTGTCATGAAACCAGTATGTTTGTTGAGTTAAATAAGGCCTTACAAATCTGTATTGCTAGTAGTGGAATGTATAGGCTGCTGCTTGCTTTGTTGGGATTTTGCCTGGTGCAATGCTCTGTATTTAATGGCTTGATTTATCATTTTGTTCAAACATACTAGATTTCAGGATTCTGTTTCTAGGAATTTATCCTAAGGAGATGATCAAGAGATATACAGATATTACATATTATAAAATTTTGGGTTTTTTAATCATAAATAAGTTCCTTAATGTCCAAAATTTCATTATAAACCAAATGTCAATCATCACAGTAATACTGTTGATAATAGCAAAAAATTTAAACATTCTACATGTCTGATAGTAGGCAATTTGTTTAAGAAAATATGTTATATCTATGCAATAGAATACAGCTATCCCAAAGGGTTTACAACAATGTTAGAAAGTTATTCAGTGTATTTTGTTAAAAGAAAAAAGCTGATTATAAAACAGGACTTAAGCCAGGCTCGGTGGCTCAGCCTGTAATCCCGCGCCTTTGGGAGGCTGAGGTGAGTGGATTGCCTGAGCCCGTGGGTTCGAGACCCGCCTGGGCAGCGAGACCTCATCTCTACAGTAAATCAAAAAATCAGCCCGGCGTGGTAAGCACATGCCTGTAATTCCGGCTACTTGGAAGGCTGAGGCGGAAGGATTGCCGGAGCCCAACAGGTTGAGGCTGTGTTGACTGGGAGCGGCCACTGCACTCCAGTCTGGGCTACAGAGTGAGACTCCAACTCAAAAAATAATAATAATAAAACAGGGCATATTTTACAATCTTACTTCCATTAAAAAATTCTTTTATGTGCATAGAATGAAGATTAGAGAGGTATGTTTCAAATGTGGCTTTTGCTAAGTGGGTTATAGATAATTTAAAAGTTTGTTTCTGGTTATCTGTTGTTTCTAAAATTTCTACAACGAAAATGTATCCTGTAGCCGGGCTCAGTGGCTCAGCCTGTAATCCTGTCCTTTTGGGATGCTGAGGTGAGTGGATTGCCTGAGCCCGTGGGTTCGAGACCCGCCTGGGCAACTTGGTGAGCCCTCATCTCTACAATAAATCAAAAATTAACCAGGCGTGGTAACACGCACCTGTAGTTCCAACTACTTGGAAGGCTGAGGTGGAAGGATTGCCGGCGCCCAGCAGGTGAGGCTGCGGTGGCTGGGAGTGGTCACTGCATTCCAGTCTGGGCGACAGAGTGAGACTCCAACTCAAATAAATAAATAAATAAATAAATAAAAAGAAAATATCCTGTAATAATTTTTTCTTTTAATCTTAAAAAGATAACAGTACTGAGAGGTTTGTTAAAATATGAGTTAGAAATTATTTCTTGTATCTGTATCCCAGTTTGAAAATTGCTATTGTGTGTTGTTCTGTAACTACTTTCTTTAAACACATAAATAATAATGTTTACTAGGTACACTTACTTTCTTTGTTCTATATACACATTGACTAGCACACAAAGTTTTCAGTAAATGTTAAATGATAATGTCATGTTAACCTATATGTGTTAAAGAAATCATCAAACTTACAGAAACAGCAACCTTCAAAAAAGAACTTTGGCCGGGCTCAGTAGCTCACCCTGTAATCCCGCGCTTTGGGAGGCCGAGGTGAGTGGTTTGCCTGAGCCCGCGGGTTCGAGACCCACCTGGCCAACTTCGTGAGACCTCATCTCTACAATAAATCAAAAATTAACCGGGTGTGGTAGTACGCGCCTGTAGTTCCAGCTACTTGGAAGGTTGAGGCGGAAGGATCGCTGGAGCCCAGCAGGTCGAGGCTGCAGTGGCCAGGAGTGGCCACTGCACTCCAGTCTGGGCCACAGAGTGAGACTCCAACTCGGGGGGGGGG